CAGCTATTTTGTATTTCTGACAGTTTCTGTGTGACTTATTGATTTGTTCATTTATAAAATACTATTTTTGTGAACTTTTGTGAGAAATATAAAGAATTATGGTACATGCATGTGTAGTATTCAATAAGGTAGATCAAATTACATTGGCCTGTATATATATTCCGCCGGGTATCTCTTATGCTGTTTTTGATTATTGCATACATTTTTTACAGGACAACATTACTGCGACTAATGAAAACTTTATATTCGGAGACTTTAACTTACCGGAAATCAGTGGCTCATTCATTCCCAACCACAATTTTAATACAAAACTTTCTACTTTAAATGACTTCTTAAATTTTAATTTTTTTAACTTGTATAACGATGTCACTAACTTTCAAGGAAGGACTTTGGATTTAGTAATATGTTCAGACGAAAAATCATGCAATATTACACATGCTCAAGTCCTTTAATTATTGAGGACTCATATCATCCTTCACTAGAAATTATTCTACAATTTGTAGAAAACTTATCAGAACACGAAGCCAAGAGTAACAGCAATTTTAAATATAATTTAAAAAAATCTAATTTCAATCTTATGGCAGAACTTATCAAGGACGTTAATTGGAATGAGGTATGTTTAGAATCTAATGTAGATAGAGCATTAAATAATTTTTATAAAATTTTAAATAATATTTTTTCAATGTGTGTTCCTGAATTTAAATTATATAAAAATCACAATAAATTTCCGGTATGGTACAATAGAGAAATCAAAGAGTTAATTGCGGAAAAGAATAAGTTAAGGAAAATAAAGCACATTTCAGCCTATTATACTGAAAAATATATAGAGATTAGGAAAAAATTTAAATATCTTACGAAAAAAGAATATACAAATTATGTTAAATCTATTGAAGATAAGGTAAGCACAGACATTAATGTTTTCTGGAATTATGTTAGCAAGAGGAGGGGTCAGAGTTCAACTAATGAAAATTACATTCACGACGATAAGGAAATTCCGTCCAAAGATACAGCACAATGCTTTGCAGAGTTTTTTGCCAGTGTATACTCCACAAATGCAACCGACTACAATGTAAATTTTAAAAGTTTTCAAAATATAGCTAACGATACATTTTCAATACAATCTATAACTGTTTCAGACTTTAATAAAGCTATTAAAAAGCTTAAACCAAAAAAATCAGCGGGTGTAGATGGTTTACCACCATACATACTGAAAGGCTGTCAAGAATGGTTACGTGACCCATTACTGCACATATTTAATCTGATAATCAATAATGCTGCCTTTCCAGAGCAGTGGAAGACTTCAATTTGTACCCCAATACATAAAACTGGGGATAAACGTAGTATAAAAAATTATAGGCCGATATCTGTTATGTGTGCTCCTTCAAAGCTCTTTGAACAAATTATTTATAGTAAACTGTATGCATTTGTCGAAAATACCATTGTAGAACAACAACACGGGTTTGTATCCAAAAAATATGTGAATTCAAATCTGTTAATATACATCAACGAAGCAAATGACTCATTAGAAAATAAGACTCAACTAGACACAATATTTACAGATTTTAGCAAGGCCTTTGATAAAGTGGATCATAGCGTCTTACTACAAAAGATTTATCGTTTTGGACTATCTGAAAATATTATGAATCTTTTTAAAAGTTATTTACAAAATCGATTTTTTGTAGTAAAACACGATGGAAACACTTCAGGTAAATTTCACGCTTCATCGGGGGTTCCACAGGGATCTAACTTGGGTCCCTTGTTTTTCCTCTTATTTATTAATGATTTGCCAGATGTTATTAGATATTCCAAATGTTTACTTTTTGCTGATGATGTAAAAATATTTAAGCCTATACAAACCGTTAGAGATTGTTCAGCTTTGCAAAAAGATATAAACAGTGTATTGGAATGGAGTGCCCAATGTAAATTAGACTTTAATATTAAAAAATGCAATGTAATGTCAATTACTCGACAAAAGGATCCAATTATTTTTGATTACTGTATGGATAATGAGTCACTAAAACGGGTATATGAATTCAAAGACTTAGGAATTACGTATGACTATAAACTATCTTTTAAAAAACACATTGAAAATGTAGTAAAATCTGCAAATCGCGCTCTTGGATTTACGATACGACAGACGTCTCTTTTTGTCAAAATCGATTCTATAAAATTGATATATGTTACGTTAGTAAGATCTAAACTTGAATATGGCTCTGTAATATGGAATGGAGAATACCAAACCATTTTGCAGGAATTAGAAAGAATACAAAACAAATTTTTAAGATACCTTTACTTTAAAAAATACTTTATTAGACCAGATTATAATAGTGTCAGAACAACACAATTACGAAGTGAATTTAAAATACCTTCTTTAGACTGTAGGAGAAAAATGTTTGCTATACTTTTTTTGTATAAAATCATAAATAACCATATAAATTCCGCAGAAATATTGTCAGTTTTGCCATTTAATGTACCTCCTAGACCTACGCGTTCCGCGATTATGTTTAATATTCCCTTTGTAAGTAGCACTCTTCGATCACCTCTCCTAACCATGCTCCGTTTAGCAAATAATATTACTTGCTTGCACGAAGTAGATTGGCATATGCCTCTAATAACATTCAGACACCTAATTTATAGGTATATTGTGAACTTGTCTGTTTAATTATTTTAGTTTTTCCATTTCTTTTATTATATGATTTGCTTTTTATTTTTTAGAAAAATTTTTTCTCAATATGAGTTTGTGTTTAATCCCCCTATATCTATATATCTATTTATTTAATATGTATATTAATACGTTTTGATCGATTGTGTAAATAATAAATATTGTAAAGTCTATCCTTGTAATTTAGGCCAGTAAGCCTGTTAGGATGGAACAAATAAATAAATAAATAAATAAAATAAATAAATAAATAAATAAATATAAATCGAAATTTATCCTTTCATCGGTAAGTATTTTTTGGTTAAGATATGTTGTTTTCGTTTGAACCAGTGGAGTAGGGCACCCGTCTTAAGACTGTTTTGACTATACAATTTCTTGTACAAGATTCGATACAATTTCTTATAGAATTTAAATTGTATAAGGTCACATAGTAAATTGTTTGAAAAATGATTATCCAATCTAATTTTTCTGACAATTTACTGCAGGTTTGATAATATACAATTTAAATTGTACAAGAAATTGTATCAAAAACTTGTGTAGTCTAAAACAGTCTTAAAACAGTTTTTAAAGTGAGATTCCTTTTATAAATTTGTAAATTATTCTTATACCAATTAATAATTATTGAATAGTGGCAAAGAAAATTTAACGTAAAATGATTTACCTATTAGGCACCTATAAATATTTTTTAATATTCTATTTAGGTTTCCGCAATATCCTGAGAAAAGAAAACTTTGGTTTTCTTGAAAATCAGCACCTTCGTAAAAACCCAGAGTTGTATTCAGAACACTTTTTTCCTGAAGATATTTTGGTACGCGCAAATGGTGCTAACTATATTATAAAAGATGCAAACCCCAGACGGTGTGAGGGCTTTCTATTTTTGGATAACTTATCCAAACGGTAAAAATACAAAGTAATAATTTTTTCTTTACCTCTAAACATTATTACCTATATTATCTAATGTATGAGTTTTTAGTTCTGATTCAACTGGTTTTGGAACACCAGCTGCTGCAAAAAAACATTGCAGTAAGTAATAACACTAATAACTAAGCATAAAAAAATTAAATGAAATTTTAGTTAATAAAATTAAGGTATTTACTATATTTAAAACGTTATTCTAAAAAAATTTACAGTTTTTTTACGATATTTTTTGCCATACCATATTTTTTTGTAATTATGAATTAAAAAATTATATATTTTTAGGACAGTATTTTATTTAGATACCCCTACCTACTTAATGTTAATTTTAAATAATTTTGGTTAACATCATATCAGGAAAATAAATAGTAAATGCCAATAAACTATAAACCAATAAATATTAAAAATCGGAAGGTAACTTGAATTCCCTTGTATTTCAATTTACTTGTATTTGAATTTACCTACATGAAAAAATTATCATAATTATATTATTAAAAAAATATACCTACTTATTTACGTGTTTAAGGACCGATTCCACCGTTGTGTTAAACGGAGATTAAAATGACATTGTTAATGTAAAAATATCATTTTAAACTCCGTTTAACACAACGATGGAATCGGTCCTTATTAACGTACTACTCTGACAATACTGGTAAGTTTAAAACTCTACACCACTGGCCAGCATATTATGGACACTGTTTACAACGTTGCCAGCCGGTCCTAAGATATCTCTTTCTCTCTTCCAGTCACTAACAATTTTAAAACAATAACAGTCCGCAATTGTATGGGATTTATGAATGAAACATTTTGTCTCTATATTGTAATGTCTTTGAATATTTCAGACTAGCAAAAGCCACGTCTACTCACCCAAGTATCAACCAGAAAGATTCGCCGCCAGTCCACGGTAATCCTAATGTCCTTCTAATGGCAGAAATTCATAGTCTGCCATTAGACATTACTGATGCAAACATATTACTTTGTGGGAGAAGATTTAATAAATCATTAAGAAATCATTTTATTTTCTCTTTCAAATAAATGGTATTAGAGGTGAAACCCCTTACAATCTTATGATAAGATAAATCGAAAATTTTTAGAATTCATACCCAAATTAGCTGATCATTATTAGGTAGAAGAGTTTCTTGAAGCTGCCTTTTATACTATTTTAAGTAAATTTTAATATGCTTTTATATGAATTCAAATGGAATAAAATACGTCTTAGTTTCATTGTACCTATTTCATCATGGACATGTAATATAAATGTATCGAGTATTTGCTTATTACTGTGTTTTACAAAATTAAATTTTAATGCTTTTTAATAGTTTGTGATATTGTTCATTTGGCTATTTATTTACTTATTTATACCATTTATTTTTCTAAATGACATACACTAAATCGTCAAGATCAGATTAAAAACAAAACACATTACCTTCATGACTCTTTACCAGTTCATCATGGACCACCAACTCCTCAAAAGTATAACCAGTATTCTCGGAAAAATGTTTTCCTTTTCCAACAATTTGAAGATGGTGCATTCTTTCTTTCTCAAATATATCCTTATCGATGGGATACGGTTTCAAACGCCCAAATTTCGTTTCAATGCCTTCAGCGATTTTTTCCAAAGTTGTCTGCCAATTTCTCCTATACTGTTTTGTATTGTAAGGAGCAAGAGCTCGCCAGCAGGTAGGGAAGTGTTTTTGCAGATACTAAAAATATATATATATAGGTACATAGTTGACAAAAATCGCCTGGATTTAAATAATTCGTATTTTTAGTACCTGTGAAATATGGTTATAACTCGCGAGATGAGTTAAGACAGTACGGGGATCCCCTTTTTTATCACATAAAATGCATAAGTAATATGGTTCCTTCGAGGTATCATCATCTTGCAATTCGATAAGATATTCCAATGCTACCAGAGGTCCCACTTTGAAACCATCCAGACGTTCCTAAAAATATTTTTCTTTAAACAAACTCAATTGACTATCCAAACAGTATCAGGAACAAAATATTTAAAATATTAAGCAAAACCTGAATGAGTATTATAAGAGAACACAATAACAATCATTATGATCATAACCAAGAGATAACGCAAAGTAGTATACTCTTTCAGTAGTATATTCTGCTCTTCTACTGTACAAGAATTAAGAATATTCCTTGATTTGCGGTAAACGTAATATATTATTTTGTCAATGAGTAACTCGAGTTTTAATGTGGCTGCAGAAGAATTTAATAAACTAATATTGTTGGTTTGAGAATTATTTTAATAACACAATAATAATGGCAACTAATTTTTAAAACAAAAGTTTTAAGTCTATGATAACTTAAATCACCACTTCCAAATTTATCACAAATCACAAAATTTCAAATACAAACGAGATTGAGATTATTATCGGCCTATTGTCGTAGTAAATTCATATTTCTGGCTTTGATTTAGTTAAGGTAACTGAAAGATTTCAACAGAAAATTAATTGATTATTTTTAACATACTTAAATCAGTTGGAGATCATTACAAAATATTTTATATTTCATTTCGCATGCCCAAGCTTTATTTGACATAATAAATACCACAAAAAGAATGGTAAACGGTGACGTCGGGTTATTCTGTAGTTTTAGATTTTTTTATCAATACAACAGACAACGAAAGTAAATTTATTTCACGGAAAAACTCATATAGATCAAAAAGTGTACCAGATTTATGATAGTAAAAGGTTAATAAATTAATAAAAAAATTATCTATTATCTATTTCGAAATAGAAATATTATTTATTATTCCATGATACTTGTGACTGAAATATCTATATGACATATCCCACTATTTCATTTAAACTACACCAATCCATAATTAATATGCAGATGAGAGTAAATGGTATAGTGGCTATCAGATCAATGTAGCTACTTTATATTTGTCCGTTTTATTGATAATATCCAGACAAAAAGATAAAATTAAAGATTAAACTACTCTCGCCAGAGTTATCGTTCTTTTTACAAGTAAATAGGAATGAGTACTAAAATTACAAGTTTATTTCAGTTCCCAGCTTTTAGGCTACCATTAAAGCTAAAAATCTAGAGATAAATTATTAAAATTAAGACATTCTCACCCGTAATTGAGTAGTCTTGTAGAATAGCAACATGGGAAATGCAGAATATCTTTTCTAATTTACCTTTAATAGATGAAACTTCCACGACTTCATATTATCATCAATAAAAGAATTTGTAATTGTTAATATTTATTATACAGTTTTTTGTTAATATTTTTCATATGCTTGGAACAAATTATGCTTAGAACAAATTATATTTATTTATTTTTATTTCGAAAGCCTCAAGATCTGCTAATACAAAAATAAAAAAAAATCAAAAATACTTTTCTGCTACTAACCAGTTCCCAAACCAAATCAAATGTGAAATATATTTTCTGTTTTTTTTTTGTTATTTATATTGTAAATGACGTATAATAATTTTATATCGTGTTTGATATTAAGTTTTACTTTGCAGGGGAATTTCTGTTTACCTGAATTTGACACTCTCTGCTAACATCTTCAAACCCAGGAGGCAAAGGTTCACCTGGCGCCACCTCAACAATGACAGGTTCTTCAGGAGTAGGATCTCTCTTAAAGTTATCCATATTATGTTGCGTATGAAATATGTTTTGAGTATGGCGTCGCCCAGCCTCATGTTGAAAAACACGCCACATGACTGGACACTCACAGGCCTTACAGTACCATTGCTCCGCTCCATTCTTGTAACTTAATTCGAAGACGTTGTCGTACTTGCCGTTCTTCAGGAAAGCTTTTTGTTTGAGCAAGCGCTCTTGCTCGTTTTCCTGAAATATTGACTTTGTTTATTTGTCTATTATGACTGTTATATAATAATTATAATAATAATACAAACATTTATTTTTCGAGAGATCCCATACACCCATACCTTGAAAATTAGGTTATACTTCCGCAACAAAGGCCAAAAAAATAAATGAAATGTTCGTTAATTGAAATTTATCGAAGTATACATTTTTCGTAACCAAATACTGTACCTTAGTTATTGTAAAATTAAAACTATGCTATTTTTTAGTAATAAAATAAACAAGAAACAATAATTTATAATTATTTGTTGTTCTAAATGTGTGGGATCTCCTCATACGAAAAATTAATTTTAAAATGTTAAAAAAATAATTATAAAAGAAAAATAAAGATAAAAAATCTATATTGTCTGTGGCTATTACTTTCGACTTTTTTTCCGTATTATTTTACTTTCAGTGATAATACAAATTTAAATGCTTGAATATGAAATTGTCAAAATTATTATTTAATTTTACTTTCGACTTGTCAGCGGAGACATAACTAAAAACTTAATTTACTCGCAGCTTGGATATTTCACAAAAAAAGTTATCAAACCTAATAATTTTTTAAAAATTAAGTCACTTCCTAGACAGCACACTATATCCCTGGCATATGCCACCAATCTGCCTATTTGCCAATTGATGTCAATATTTTTCTATGATTACTATTGTAAACAGTATTATTTTACAGTTTTCAAGGTGTCTATCACACTAATTTATACGTTGACATGTCATTGTTCTGATGCGATATATTGACAAAGATGTTTACACGTAAAAACTTTACTGCTTCTGTCTAAAATAGTGAATCATAGCATCCATGAGGAATTGTAAATGGCTGCCCATAGGCGATATTAATATAACTGTGCCAGCTTCGATTTGGTTTAATCATGGTATAATTGTTAAATATTAATAATTAAAAGTGCTGTATTGAATTGAAGATTCAGTCCAATATGCTATCGCCCGAAAACCTACCTCAATTAAATAAAGTAGTTTGATTATTAAATATTTGAATCTATTTATTGCGATTATAAACAAGTATAGTAAAAACTCGTGTTACACAGGAACTAAGCACTTAAGTTGCCAACTAAATATTTATATTTGCATGTAATTTGCGCTGTATTAAGAGCTTATTAGGTACTTCAGAATGATAGGGAACAATGACCTATTTTTTGTAAAGCGGCTTATAATATACCAATTGTCTATATAAATTCATATTCTATAAAAACCACTAAGCACTTTTCATCCACAAGCATTTGACCGCATCCGAAATCAAAATCAAGACAAAAACTTGACTTGATTTGATCTCAATAGTTACATTTCGAAATTTTAACACTTATTTTATCAAATTACAAATTTAAATAAGAAAGTAGGTAAATAAAGATTTTGCCTATAAAACATTTATTTTCAACGTTAAATAATGTGTCTAAAATTATAAGAGTTTTATTGTAGCCATCTACTCTTAATTAGAGCTCTTTCACTCGAAGATACTGTATGAGAGATACACGTATCCGAGTCCGAGATTCAGGCTGAATATAAGGCATTTTCGGAAACCTACTACAGATAACAAATTCAGATTACTGGGTTTACCCGATGGAACACGTGGATCACTGAACTTTGTGCCGACAGTTTACGAACAAGTTGGATTATTGTTCCTGTTTATCTACGTCTGTCAATCTTTGACTTGTCCCTATTATTTGTTAAGGAACCATTTTAATTAAACGTATTTGTAGTCTGACTAATAAAGTCGCAATAGGGGCATAAATATTACAAGTTATAACTAATTGAATGTAGAAAAAACTTCAAAGATACTACTGACATATACCAAACACTAAAAAATTGCGTTATCCCTTTATAAAATCCTGTGGTGAGCTTGCGGATCTATTACTAATCTACTCGTAGAGTGGGTTACAAAATATTGATCTCGATCACAAAGCTGGATCAGTAATCTACTAGTTTCCGAACACGGATAGAGCTAGCAACCATAGGTAAACGAACAATAGGATTAATATTTCTGATCCGAGTAAGTTTTCGAAAACGCCTATACATTCAAATAGACCTATTCACACGGTACAGGCGACGCATACAGTATCGCGATACGGAATTTCTGTATCCCGGCACCTTCAGCCGCGGAGGCTGAATGCGTATGCCGCATATCGAATTACTATTACGATATATGGACCTTTTCAGACATGGATACTTTTGCAACGGAGATTATATCATAGGCGCAGGATATTTTTCAATAAAATTTCAACTGCCTAGGTTTTAACGCTATAAAATAGTGATGCAACATAAAGTTTAAAACATCGAAAAAGTATTAGTTTGATAAAGCAAAATTAGGCGAATAATCGATTATTTTTGATTGAATATTTTCGATTGATTATTTTCAATTGATTATTTTCAATTGATTATTTTCGATTGAATATTTTCGTTTATTTTCGATTAATGTATATTATATGTAAATAATTTATTATTATTATTATTATTATTATATTATTATTTTAGAATAATTGAATAATCGATTATTTTCTTTTGATTATATTCGATCAAATTATTATTTTAAATTAATCAATTATTTTCTACTAATCGATTATGGTCGACCAATTGATTATTTTCGATTAATCTATTATTTTAGATTAATCGATTATTTTCAAATAATCAATTATTTTCGTTTAATAGAGGACTTCTATACAAGGGAAGTACAACCAACTTGACAAAATAAAATTGACACTAATGACGTAAGAAATCGGGTCACATAAAGAAGATGTTTTTTTGTTCAAATTTTAGTTTTTCTTATCTACTTTATGCCATTTACATACCATGTTGTACCCGTAACGTAAAATACTTTTTATTTAAGGGTATTTCATATTTAACGGTTGAAACAGTTATCAGCTGTCGATAATGTCCAAACATTAGCGTAGCATTGCGATTATTTGTTTTTATTGTTAATAGTCTATTTATGTTTCTCTCGGTTTCTTTAAACATTTTTTTCATTTGGTTTTATATATTTATATCAAATGCAAAAATGCTGCTGCTACAAATACAAGTTACATATACTCTAAAACCATATACAATACTAGTTACGTTATGCCCTTTTATGGTTACGCCTGTGTTCTACCAGCAACATAATTGACAGCTGACACTGACAAATCTTTTCAACCTTTAAATGTGAAATACCCTAAACTAAAAAGTTTTTTTACAATACGGGTAGAACATGGTATGTAAATTGCATAAAAGTATATACGAAAAACGAAAAAGTAAACTAAAAGACAGCCTCTTTATGTGACCCGATTTCTTATGTCAATGGTGTCAATTTTATTTAGTTGGATGCACTTCTCTTGTATAGAAGTCCTCTATTGATTATTTTCGTTTAATCGATTATTTTCGATTGATTATTTCCGATTAATCGATAATGTTCGCGCAAACTATAATTTTCGATAAATCGACTATTTGTAATTAATTGACTATTTTATTCGTTAAATCGATTATGTTTGATTGAATATTTTCGATTAATCGATTATATTCGATCAATTTATTATTTTAGATTAATCGACTATTTCCAATTAATCGATTATTTTCTATTTATCGATTATTTTCGATTAATCGATTATTTTAGAATAATCGATTATTTCCCATTAATAGATTATTTTCGATTAATCGATTATTTTCTATTAATAGAATATTCTGAATAATCGAATATTTTAATGAATCGATTATTTTCGACTGATCGATTAATCGAAAATAACCAATTATTACAAATAATCGATTATTTATTTTGATAACCGCCAAGTCCTAAGCCTAATCCGTGTTTATAGGATACAGGACACACAGATTATTTTTTTCTTAATACTTATGCCACAGTACCTATAATACAGTTAGGGAGTCATAATTCAAAAATCTATGCACGGCACTGCGATTATTTTAGTACTGATTGGAGAGATGCGTGAATTCGATAGAGCAGTCCAAGTTTTCGACTGCGATTCATCTCGCATTCAGTAACTTCGTGTGAAAGAGGGCTAAAATTATGAGAAATGAAAATGAAATTTACAACACGAGCCATAGGCCAGTGGCGTAAAACATTCGAGTAGGTAATAGTCATTACATGGGAGTAAAATACTATCCTTTATCCACTATTAAATATTTTTGAATAAATAGTGAATATCTACTAATGATGGGTCTTTCCAAAACAATAATTTTTGGACATTTTTCCCAAAAACTGCTAATTGATATTTATTCCATGGGCATAGAAAACAGTTAAATGTAGGGAACAATAGTTGCATTTGTATTTTCGATTTTTATACAAATCACAAATCATTTGTAAAATGCTTCTAAACTTATTTTTGAATATTTTTTCATGTTTATGTTTTTGTAAGATAATATAAAACGAAAATTTTAAAACTAAACATATCAAAGTCAGTAGGCATTTGTGTTTCTTTTTTTTTAAACTGTTTTACATTTTTTGTAAGAAATTCAGTCAAATTATTTTATTTAATTTCGCGCATGTGCACTACTCTTTTTCATTTTGAAGTTTGTTTGGACTATGAAGACTAGAGATAAGGAGGAGAATCGGCATACTCGAAGTACGGTCCCAAAAAACAAACGCTGATTGAGCTTTTTTAACTCACCACAAGGGCGCTGGTGCTAGTACTGCTGTTCAAAATACATGGCTTCTTATGGGAATTTTACATAATTTTGTCAAAATAATAAAAATAAACTTGTTTATTGCCAAATAAAGCACAGAATATACGTTGTATTTATTTCTAAATAAGTCTTGCATGTTTTAATTGATAAATTATTTAATTTTATCCATATAAAATGTAATTTAGGTAGGTATGACCCAATTCGAAAAGATTTGGTAAATGGTGAAATTTGGTAAGTACAATTTTGTGTCTAAATTTTTTTGAATTATACCTAAATATAGTAGTTAAGAGCAAAATAAAACACAGTCAACAGATTTTTTATTGTTATAATAGAAGCATGAAGGGAGATTT